ACAGTGAGATTCGGGCGTCTGGAACTTTTCGGGGCCGACAGTGAGATCTGACGTCCATCCATTCTTTTGAGGTGGTCCAAATTGAGATTGGTCAAGGAACAGAGCGGCTACAACGAGAGCCAAGCTGCTAGCCTTCAACATCTTCTGAAGCTGGTCCGAATGGCATCAAGGATTTCGAGCAGCCAATCCACCAGGGGTTCGAGCTGTCTAGGGGACGAGCAGTGTTGACCACCGGGTGACGTTTTAGGAGCCGGGTGGCAACTTCACAGGACGGCAACTCAGTTGGATAGCGTTGAGCATTGAGCAGAACATTGGAAGCCGGGCGGCTAGCCTACAAGGTCCCGGCTGTCCTGAGAAGCCGAGCGGCCAGTCTACAAGGTGACTGAGCCATCCAGGGCTGAGGGGCCTTGAGAGTCGGGTGGCATTCTGAGAGTCGAGCGGCCAACCTACAAGGTGTCCGAGCTGTATAGGAAACAGAGCCGCATTGAAAGTCGAGCAGACAATCTCCAAGGGCACCCAAATCTGTCCCAAGACTGGGCCATTTTAGAGTTCGGGCGGTAGTATCACCGGTTAGTGATCGAGCTGAGCTAGGTCGGCCGGAGTTGTATTGCGTTTGCCTAGCGGCTGGAATTACATCGCGACTTGGTCTCTCCCTAAGGTGTGACGCTCGGACTGCAGATTGAGTGGACCTGACGGTCATCCTATGCAGGCCTTAGAGTCCAGAGGTCAAGCCTTATTGTTAATCGGGAAGGCATCCAATCTTTAGGGGAGTTCCAAGTCATGTTGGATGAAGAACAATGACGTGTTAGTGGACAAGCGGCAGGTGCTGATGTCGCCTGATGGTGCATTGTCCATGATTAAGAGGTCAGGCAGCTTGGTCTGAGCGGCACTCACCGAAGGTGTTCTGAAGAGTGCTGACTGATAGTTTCAATGATTTTACAAGGGGAGAGAGCCCGGACGCAAGCCAGACTCTTTGGACGATCTGTGCCACAAGACTGTACGGCAACTGGGCTGGCGACCACTTTTACTTGGCAGATGCACTCTTGGCAGATTGTACCTGCTGTCCTACTCCAACGGATGATAAGTGGGATTGATGCTTCGAGTGAAAATGGCCAAGCGGTGTGTGGACCCTAGACGAACAGAACTGGTCATTAGTGTTTAAGTGTTTGTCCAGTGATTCCACAGACGGGTGGTTAGTCCTTTAAGGAGTCTGTGTTGGAATAAATCCATAAATACTTTAATCTTCATATTGGAATTATCTAGAGAATTAACTTGAGCGGAAGCGTACCTGACTCCATTGGAGATGATCTTTGGAGATCCGGGAGACGGAGGCTAGGGTTTGGATCTTCTAGTTGATACACACCCTCGGGAATTATCTCTCTAGCGATGGGATGCAGAAAGACGGAATGGCGTGTTCAACTAGGGACCATAACCCCTCTATTTATAGAGAATGCTTAACCCTAATCAGCCCATCATTAATTAGGTTAAGCCCATGGGTCTCTACACATTTGGGCCCTATACCTTATTAGATAACTTATTAGCCCACTTAAATTAATATCCATAGGACCACTAATTTTTGGGCTAAATATAAGATAGCATATAACATACAATTAACCCAATAAATAATATGTTGTGAATATTATATGTAGTATAAGTCCAATAATCTAACAATCTCCCACTTGGACGACATACACATATGTATACACAATCCTTAGTATTGTATGTTTACTTTAGGAGCTCCAGAATTTTGCTATCAAACTGTAGTCATCTTTAATCAATCCGGTCCATTAATTATATCAACATAGGACCAAAGAAGTCTTTGCTATATTCACATAACTAGACCCATCAATGATCACATATATTAATATAATAAACGACATGGATCAAGTATAGGTGTGTAGCGTGGAAATAACATGAAGTGTGGTCTGGAATAGAATGTCTATTTCCAACTGGTCCACCTTGAGATCAATAATGTAACTGTAAGAGTACATAAGACTTTAAACTTTAAACTTTATACTTTATTTCTGCAGAAAATATCCTTAAAAACTGAATTAACCAAAATTATAGAAACATTACAAACTCCCACTAAAACTCATAATATTCAACTGATTTGACACCCATTTGAGCAACATGCTCATGAAACACTTTGGGTGGCAATCCTTTAGTGAGCGGATCCGCAATCATGGAGTTTGTGCTAATGTGTTCTATAGATAACTTTCCTTCTTGTACTCGTTCCTTAACAGCCTTAAATTTGACCCCAATGTGTTTTGCCTTGGTCAAACTACTGTTGTTCTTAGCGTAGAGGACTGCCGACCTATTGTCACACAATAGCTTAAGTGGTCTTTCAATGCTATCCACTATGCGCAGTCCACTAACAAAATCTCGCAGCCATAATGCCTGATTGGATGCCTCATAACATGCTATAAACTCTGCTTCCATGGTGGAAGTCGCTGTAAGAGTCTGCTTGATACTCCTCCAGGAGATAGCTCCTCCAGCCAGAATATAGATGTAGCCCGAAGTGGATTTCAAAGAATCCTGACATCCAGCAAAATCAGAGTCGGTATACCCAATGATCTCAAGCTGATCCGATCTCCGATATGTGAGCATATATTCCTTTGTTCTCTGTAAATACCGCATGACCCTTTTGGCTGCTTTCCAATGGTCCATTCCCGGATTGCTCAAATATCTGCCTAACATCCCAACAATGTATGCCAAATCAGGTCTTGTACAAACCTGAGCATACATCAAACTTCCTACAGCCGAAGCATAAGGAATGTTCCTCATTTCTTTAGATTCAAAACCATTCTTAGGGCACTGCATGAGACTAAACTTGTCTCCTTTAGAAACTGGAGTATCTCCCGGTTTGCAGTCATGCATGCCAAACCTTTTGAGAACTTTATCGATATAGCTCTTTTGTGAGAGTCCAAGAACGCCTTTGGAGCGATCTCGGTGTATTTGAATTCCTAATACAAAAGAAGCCTCACCAAGATCTTTCATTTCAAAATTCTTTGAAAGAAATTTCTTAGTTTCGTGCAATAAGCCTATATCGTTGCTAGCAAGCAATATGTCATCAACATACAAAACCAGGAAAATATGTTTACTCCCACTGAACTTGTGGTATATACAGTCATCACTGACATTTGGTTGAAAACCAAAAGATATGATTACTTTATGAAACTTGTGATACCACTGACGAGAAGCCTGCTTGAGCCCATAGATGGATTTCTTTAATTTGCAAACCATTTTCTTTGGATCTCCCGAAACAAAGTTTCCTGGCTGCTCCATATAGATTGATTCCTCAATGTCACCATTGAGAAATGCAGTTTTCACATCCATCTGATGAAGCTCAAGATCAAAATGTGCCACTAATGCCATTATTGTTCTAAAAGAGTCTTTCGAAGATACCGGAGAGAAAGTCTCTTTATAGTCAATTCCTTTCGTTTGAGTGTAGCCTTTAGCAACAAGACGAGCCTTAAACCTTATAACATTGCCCTTTGAATCCCTCTTGATTTTAAATATCCATTTACAACCAATGGGTTTAATACCTTCGGGCAATGAGACTAGCTCCCAAACGTCATTGTCACTCATAGACTTCATCTCATCTTTCATGGCATTAATCCATTCTTGAGAGTTAGAACTTTCCATGGCTTGACGGAAGTTGATTGGATCATCTTCCTCAAAACCAACATCTGATTCTTGTTCTTGGAGGAAGACAATTATTTCTTCCACCAAATCCCAATTTTCCTCATGTTCTTGGAGAAATACAATATAATCATCCGGAATTGCACTTCTCCTCTCTCGATTGGATCTCCTTAATGGCACCTCAGGTTCTTGAGGTTGTTGAGTTTGATCCTCATTAATAATTTCAGGTACCTGATTGGGGATGTTTTCGAGATTGTCCTGAACTGGAGTTGTTTCTTGAACATTATTAGGAATAAAAATATCTTGATCATGTTCAATGACAACGGAAGGAAGAGTAACATGCTCTTCCTCAAGGACAAAATCTCTAACCTTATCTCCCCACCCCCCAAACTCAATATCCTCAAAGAACCGGGCATTACCCGTCTCAAAAATAGTCCTGGTAGTGGGATCATAAAATTTATACCCCCTTGACCTCTCAGAGTATCCTACAAAATAGCTACTAACTGTTCTAGAGTCCAGTTTCTTTTCATTTGGCCTATAAGGCCTTGCCTCAGCTGGACAACCCCAAACATGGGTATGATTTATACTGGGTTTCCTTCCAGTCCAAATTTCATAAGGGGTCTTAGTTGTAGCTTTAGTGGGAACTCTGTTGAGTATGTAAGCTGCAGTTTTCAGTGCCTCTCCCCAGAGTGAATCTGGTAAAGTAGTATGACAAATCATACTCCTAACCATGTCCTTTAATGTACGGTTTCGTCTCTCAGCAACACCATTCATGCTAGGAGTTCCAGGCATAGTGTACTGAGGAACAATACCACACTCCTCTAGGAATTTAGCAAATGGACCTGGACGTTGTTCACCGGAACCATCATATCTACCATAGTATTCACCACCACGGTCAGATCGAACGGTTTTAATTCTTTTGCCTAATTGATTTTCAACTTCGGCCTTATAAGATTTGAACACGTCTATTGATTGGGACTTTTCATGGATGAGATAAAGGTAACCATAACGAGAGTAATCATCTATGAATGTGATAAAATATGTTTGACCATTTCTACATGGTGTAGGGAATGGTCCACAAATGTCTGTATATATCAATTCTAATAGATCTGAAGCTCTCTCGGCACCTAATCTCCTTTTGTTCGTTTGTTTTCCCTTAACACACTCAACACAAATATCCGAATTTGAGGAGTCAAGAGAATCAAGAATTCCATCGGACACAAGTCTCTGAATTCTTTCTTTAGAAATATGTCCTAAACGCTTGTGCCAAAGTGATAATGAATTCTCATTGGTTAATTTTCTTTTAGTACCACGAGTACTTACATGCAAGGTTTCATTATATGAGGCAATTATATCAAGTGAATATAGATTATCATAAACTGATAAAAGACCGGTACCAATAAGCTTTGAATCTTGAAATAGACTGAACTGACTATTTCCAAATGAACAAGAATAACCAAATTTGTCCAATGCAGAAATAGAAATTAAATTCCGTCTAAATGACGGTACAATAAATGTCTCTTTCAAATCCAAATAAAAATCAGTCTTTAATAATAATCTAAAAACACCGATAGCCTCAACTTCAACCCGCTTGCCATCACCGACATAGATGTATCTTTCACCATCAATTGGTTTTCGGCAGCTCAGGCAACCCTGCATGGATACACTTATGTGAGTAGTAGCACCGGAATCTACCCACCAAGTGTCCTTGGGTACCGAAATTAAATTAACCTCAGAACAAACAAGAGCAAGAGACATACCCCTTTTCGCACGCCAGGCGTGGTACTTAGTGCAGTCCTTTTTCTTGTGATTAGTCCCTTTGCAAAAGAAGCATCCAGATTCCTTAGTTTCTTCCTTAGTTTCCTTATGATGCTTTCTTTGAGGCCCTGAATTTACAGCTTCCTTAAATTTCCTTTTCTTGCTGCCCTTAGAGGTAGATGTCAAATGAGCACTTTCAGTCTTATCTTGCTTTATTCTCTCTTCCTCTTGAACACAATGAGAAATGAGCTCATTGAGAGACCATTTCTCCTTAATGCAGTTGTAACTGACTTTAAATTGATTAAATTGAGAAGGAAGAGAGATCAAAACTAAATACACAAGCAATTCCTCAGGCAAAATGAGCTTAAGTGCACTTAGTTTTGAAGCAATATGAGACATTTCCAAAATGTACTCCCTTATGTTCCCTTTGCCTTTGTACTTCATGGAAACAAGAGTGCTCAAAAGAGTACTAGTTTCCGCCTTTTCGTTTTTAGCAAAACGCTTTTCAAGTTCGGCAAGGAACGATTTGGCATCATCCTCATCAGACATAGTGCCCCTGAATGATTCTGGAATTGCACGTTTCATGATCATCAGACTCATGCGGTTTGAGCGTTCCCACCTCTCCATCTCCCTCTTTTCATCAAGGGTAGATGAGTCCTTAAGAGCGGCGGGTTTCTCAGTCCGGAGTGCAAGGTCTAGATCCATGCAACCGAGAACAATCATAACGTTCTCTTTCCATTCCTTAAAATTCGTGCCGTTAAGCACAGGGATGCTATTAATATTAGCAGATATTGTAGCAGCAGAATTGTTGACTGGAAGTGAACAAAAAATAATATAAGTTATATGCTCTAAAAACTGAAATAATCTTGATAATTAGTTTTAAATTTAAATATTAGCAATCCCCATCACAAGATACCTAACGCAACATCTAATCTTGTCTTTGGACATAAATTAGACTTGCAAGTGGTACTCTTGGTGTAATAATAAAATTTTGATAATAAAATCATGTCAAATACTAAGACTTTCTTTGGACCGACTTAATATTCACATGAAAACCTCATAATTATCACAAATTTTATTATCACAAATGTACTTAAATTTCGGTCAAATAATAACCTTCCTTTGGGCCGATTATTATCCACATGAAATAAGAAAGTACACAATCATCTTAATATATGAGTCAATTAATTTCAACAAGAGAGGCTACTTTGGCAGCATGTTGTGTCAATTAACCAACCCAAATATTAGACATGCTAATATTAAATCAAATATCTGAAAAGTAAAATTGGGCAAATTTTTCCTGAGTCACATTCAAATGTGTTATGTATGACGATAATTTGTAAAACCCGTACTCAATCGTTGTGTGATCGCAAAATAAGATTTATACTTTCATAACACATAATGCATATTTTTCATCCCGCAAAACACAATGACGAACAAAATAATCAATACCGTAATATCCAAATTATGTATTTCTGACAAAATTGATGTTGACTGTAATTACATATAAGTATTTAATTACCAAACCCGGCAATAATCACATATATGTACTTAATTACTAAAATCTATAGAAAATTTCCAAAAGGAATCACCGAAAAATGGAAACATATCATAAATTTATTTGATGCACATATACTTCGACATACTGAAAAAGATTCCAAATCAATAACAAAATTACATACGGTAATTCCTTAAATATAATAGCTCAAAATATGATTCACTATCAAGTATGAATCAACTCAATCTTTCACATCCAAAATTCCGTATTATGTAATTTTATAATCATCACTTCCAGTTTGCCGATTCAAAAAAAAAAAAAATGCTCCTGAAATCACAATACAGTTCCATCTTTGAATTACCCAAAAGAACACAGCAACGTAGTTGCTTCACATCAACAATTACGGATGGAGTTGGAGTGAAACTCCAATTGGGATAAATTAAGATGCTCATAGAAAGTAAATATAATATGTATTCAAAAGACATTCGCAAAAGTCACTGCGACAAAACAAGATCACGAAACTCCAATATAATGGTTTTAATTAATCTAACAACACCAATTAATTACATGGGAATGAATTACACAAAAGTAAATCGCAGTACCTTAATTCCAAATTGATCGACAAATTTCACAACAAACGAAAAGAAAAAAAACATAAATTCAATCGTTTTGCTTTATGATTAACTACCGATCATCATATCAACAACGAATTGCATAAACGCAAATCGCTTTACCCTTATTTCAATAACAAAATCGGCAGATTATAATGACTCCAAATAATTCAATATGAAGGAGGCTCTGATACCAATTGTTGGAATAAATCCATAAATACTTTAATCTTCATATTGGAATTATCTAGAGAATTAACTTGAGCGGAAGCGTACCTGACTCCATTGGAGATGATCTTTGGAGATCCGGGAGACGGAGGCTAGGGTTTGGATCTTCTAGTTGATACACACCCTCGGGAATTATCTCTCTAGCGATGGGATGCAGAAAGACGGAATGGCGTGTTCAACTAGGGACCATAACCCCTCTATTTATAGAGAATGCTTAACCCTAATCAGCCCATCATTAATTAGGTTAAGCCCATGGGTCTCTACACATTTGGGCCCTATACCTTATTAGATAACTTATTAGCCCACTTAAATTAATATCCATAGGACCACTAATTTTTGGGCTAAATATAAGATAGCATATAACATACAATTAACCCAATAAATAATATGTTGTGAATATTATATGTAGTATAAGTCCAATAATCTAACAGTCTGTCCCGCTCGAGACAGGACCTGTGAACAGCCTAGCTAGGAGAGGCTGAACGAGCAGTCAATAAAGGGAGGCAAACCTGGCGGGGACCGGTGCACCTGGATGGTACTCTTCGCACCAACTTTGTCGGATCCATCGTATTGTGTTTCTCCTCTTCGCTAGCTTGGTTATAAGGAAAATGGAGATAGTTAGCTCTTCCAATCTGTCCTCGTACCTGTATTTTGGTCACCGGAAAGCTTGCGATTTGTACTCAAGTGGGCGGCTGCCCTGTTCGAGATTCGCTACCCCAGCTATCAGTTGATACTAGCACACTTCTAGTTTCCCTTGGTTGCAACTGATGGTCCTTCCACAATCCTTTTTTGTTGTTGAAATCAGTCCACTTCGTATCAATTTTTTTTGTAATAATCAAGAACACATGAATCTTTTTGATCAAGATTCCCACAAACGACGCCAGTGTTGAGTTGAATCCAACACGATATAGTAAATATAGATATAATTTGGTATGAACACTTGATCTTTACATGGAAACCCGAAAGGGAGAAAACCACAAGACTTTTTAGCCTAATCTCCTCACCATTAGAATGTACAAATATTGAGCTTCCATTAATGGAGTTTGTTAAGCTAGCTGTTCTATTCTAGAGAGGAGGAGAAAAAGGGGATCAAGAATCAACCCCTAACATGGAGGGAAGGCCTCCTATTTATTGGGAAAAAAGGGTAGGGGAAAGCCTACCATAATGGGTCAAGCAGGCCAAAATGGGCCCCAAAGGGTCAAAACAAGCCTGATAGGCTGAAATGGGCCTCATCATTCGGGCTTCGTACTAGGGCGATGTATTAGGCTCCTGAACATTAGTAGACCAGGAAAATATACCTCAATAATAATAATAATAATAATAATTATTATTGATGTAGGTGTTTCCTTCACAAATCACAATTGTTTGTTTGTTCATTTTGAAATCGAGATTTTTCATCCCAACTGGTTTCATTTTTTTTACTTGATTATGCTATAAAAAGTGTAAAATCGTGTGTTAAGGACTCATGATTGTTCGGTGATTTTGTATAAAAAGTTAAACTAAGCGGCTAGAAAATTACTCTGTAATATATTTGTTGATTTGTGATAAGAAAAAAAAAGATTGAACTATGACTTTGAGCCCGTTTGAAAGCACCAAAATCGGTTGTTTTGGCTGATTCTGCTGAAATTTATGAAGTTCTGGCTGAAGTGGCTGCATTGGCTGATTCTGCTGATTTAAGAAAAAAAATTGAAATATATATATATATATATATATATATATATATATATATATATATATTAATAAATAATGAAAAAATTATATGTAAAATAGTTAAAATGGTCAGCTACAGTAACTTCAGCCAATACAGCCAGAAAAGTAACTCTAACCTTACTTTTTCTGCTTATTACACAATTCAGTGCGCGATATCAAATGTCATGTGTTTGGTGAAAAAGTTGTCCGATAAGCCGAAAAACAGTGTTGCCAAATGACCTCTTTATTGTATAGAAAACTAAGTTGATTAAATAAATAATATTTTTTATATGATATGTCATTCATTCCGCTAAAATTGTGTTATCTTTCCTTTTCGATTAGTTCAACTAAGATTGTCTCATATAAAATTTAGTAAAATATGTGTGAACCTAAATCATCCTTACTTTATTCTTATACTTTATTAATTCAATATCAACCACATAAACTCACTACTTGAATTCTAAAAAATAAACATTACTCCGTATTTTATTATGTGGGGTCTCAAAGTTGTTTTAGACGGTCTTCAGTAAATGTATCAGATTAAAATAAAACATCCATATGGAATATTGTTCACGCGATAATTGAAACTAAATATGCGAACTGCTTGAATGGAGAAGATCATCAGTGATCTGTACTCAAAAATTTGATCGACAAGTTGACAGAGATAGAGAGAGTAGGCGGAGTACTTTAAATTTGAAGGCATTTGCGTGACGAAATAATTGATGAGACATTTTGTAATCAGTGCAGAAAAGGGATAATCCCAAACACGGAGTTAGTAGGTGTGCGTCCGTATTCTTGTAACGTATGATATACTGAGTATTCCGGATAAAAAGCACGGATCCGGATGCGTTTAGGTTAGGTTGGAGAGTGCAGTACTGGTGAATTGTTCGGATGGCTAGATAGAATGAATGTTCTGTACGTTGTGACATCATTGACAAAATTTCCGATAACAAAAAGCAAAAAAACTTTTATACCCATTTTTAAATCCACTTTTATACCATCATGTCTGTAAGAAGTTTTATTTTTTCTATGAATTCCGGTCACATACAAAATATGTCTATGCAAATTATTTTGTTTGTGAATAGAATTCACAGACAAAAAAACTCTTCTTAGACATGGTGAGTATAAAGTGGATATAAAAGTGTGTACAAAAAGAAGTTCTCATACAAAAAATATCATATGTTATTCTCACAATAGTAAAAATACTCCAATATTCTTCGTTTGCCTTTTAAGTTAAAAGAAATACCCCGGTTCTTCTAGAGCTGGATATTTTATGTCAAAAGAAATGAGTTTGCCTTTTAAAAGAAGGTGAAAATAACTTTAAATAATACTTCGTACCAACTATCATACATGAATCAAGAATAATACTATCGTACGTACTTTAGAAATAACTTTTAATAATACAAACTATTTGAATATATATCAAAAGTAATACTCCCTCCGTCCCCCAATTAAGTTCCCCCTTTTCTTTTTGGGTAGTCTCTGAATTAAGTTGTTCTTTCCTTATTTGAAAAATTAACTACATCAAAATAGTGTCAAACAGTGTCCAAATAGTGTCAAAATAGTAAAATTTATCCCCTAGTAAATTTTTTTCCTTAATGAATGTGAAAAGCAATGGGGAACTTAATTGGGGGACGGAGGGAGTATCTAGTATATTTTCACTAAACAACCAGTCATTTAACTCATCAAAAAATAATAGCAATATATTGAATAAGTGACCATAATATATTTCAAAATATCATTTATTTGAAGGTTTAATATTAGTTTTTTATGTTTTAAAAGGTTGCATTTCTTGAATAAAAGTGACATCATTTTATTATTGTTCTACATTTAAATAGTTGATATTATTAAAAGTTATTTCTAAAGTATGTATTATTCTTGGTTCATGTAAGATAGTTGGTATTATTTAAAGTTATTTTTCCTAAAAAAATGAGTACTGACATATAATTAGCATAGTAAATATTTTGATGATAATACGTACAATGATAATATACTAAATGAATAAGTTAATTTGTATAATATACTAAATGAATAAGTTAATTTGTATCGTATATATTACATGTAGATCATGATACCTAATTGTATGCTTCTAATATTCAATTATACTAGTGATTTAATATAAGTGGTCGTTTCTTTGAAACGGTACACTCTTTCTTTTAACATAAAATATCTGGTTGTACCGTGCACGGTACAACCGGTCGTACAATGTACGCTCTTGATTTCACATACCGAGCATTTTCAATTGACAGTAAAATTCTCAATTATCCATTCTCTTTTAAACATTTTACAATATGTATTTGAGTAGTTCTATTCATAAAACTTAAATAAAATATGTAAGATACTTTCCATTATCAAATTAATTGTTTCATTTCCTTTTCAGACTGTATCAAATTAATTGTCAAACTTATTTCGTCTTTGGAAATAAATCTACCCTAAAAACAGTTATTGTATACTTTAATAAAATATACAGTATTGTTTACAGTTGGGAGCGGTGTTTGTTGCGGGTGTTCTCCCTTAGAAAAATAATGTTTCTTTACCCTATCGAAAGAAGGTAACATCGTCCCCACTCCCCAACCCTATTGGACTGCCATATGGCATAGTAATTCGTTTTAATTTTGAAACTGTTATTACTTTTTCAATTCAAGTGCCAATTTTTCAAAAAATATATCATTTATTTTAATTTTTATGATACCAATATTGCATATGTAAAACAAAAAATGTGGTTGAAAATAGATATAAGAAAAAAATAATCAGAATTGTTTATATACAATATTGATATCATTGGGAAGATTATAAAAAACATTAAATTTGATATATTTTTGTGGAAATTTGTTTGTGAATAAAAAATGTATGATAATTTTAAGAAAAAGAGAATTGTAATGCCAAATGGCATGCATGAAGGGGGTGATGTTCACCCTCCTTAAACTTCTCCCTTAGGCTGACCACAATGATGTCGGTAAAAGTGCCAATTTTGTGGGTTTCACCCTCAATTGACTGCAAACCCACAAAAAATGGTATTGAGAGATGCCAAAATGAATCCATGGCACCCACAGGGACGGAGTCTAGCACCCCATTTCACCTGAGTACGGAAGACCAGGAAGGGAAGAAAATGAACTGCACAACTAAGTGTGTGGGCCCCATGGGAAATAAAATTTCTTTTTTCTTTAAAAGTGTTACTCATAATTTTTTTTTTATTTGTGCTCATGTTTTATAAAAATATATATCAAAGTTCATGACTTTTATGATGTTAGCTTTGACACAAGTATTGCATATATAAAGTTAAGAGATTTAAAATTGTAGTTGTTAGAGGTTTTCGGCACGAGATTTTGCCTAGATAGTTTCAAGTTCTAGAATTAAGATCTCATGGTTATTTTTGTTTACATCTTTCAATTATTTTATTCAAAATTAGATTCGTAGTAACAAAAAAAAATTGAACTCCAAATTTATTTACTTTTGCTTCTGAATGTGACATTTTAAATCATAGTTATTTAAAAAATAAAATTGACAAAAAGTGATGTATATTACTAGAATTAAGGTTTTAATAAAGATAATTTTTATTGAACGAATATATTGACGTTGTTGGATTGAAAAAAAACTAAATTGATTGAATAGAATATCTGATTTTTTGACCGAATGAGTTACCGTTAGCCTTAGGGCCACTAGATTTGTTCCAAAGCAGACAATTGAGACAAACCTTTTAATTTAAGGAGGGGTGGGTATATTATGAAGGGATGTGAGGGACGTGGAACAAGCCAACAAGATCTATGCACGGGCTATGCTAAGTTGAAGCCCAGGGTAACTTAGAAAATTTTCAATTCTTTAGTTTATTATTTTTTTTATTTTTTACGTTTAGCCCACCCGCTAATATTTAAGTCTAGTATAATTTCTATTTGGTCTAGGGCATCTCAGATTACTGATCCGCCCCTGCAAGTCATGTTAGTGTTAACCCAATTCCAGGAAAATAATGAGGTGTGTGAGGTGTGGGAATGGAAGGAGGACATAGTGCCTATCCAATGGCAGGAGACACTGGGCAGCGAAGGGACAGTAGTGCCCCTGGCCTGCCACTGCACACGAGAATTTTCCTTCATTCATATTCCTGCTACCTGCTACTACTGTTCCACCTGACAATTCACAAATATGCACCAGATATCCAAATCTAAGTAGTAACTTATGAAAGCAAAGGAAGCATATCTGGAAGATTATAATCCAATACTCCTTACAATTTTGCCTGCTATTGGTACACGATCTTAGGCTAACCGCAACCCAAACATGTCAATAAATCTACTTTCCCTCTCGTTTATATGTATTCATCCAATCGATCAAGATTTTCCATGCAACTCAGCA